TTTTTCTTTGTTCTCATGCACACATTTCAAACAGGTGAGTATGTAAATACAAGGCAGGGTAAGTATTTTTTCTGTATTAAAGTGATCTTTGCAGCTTTCATACGGTTTTAGGTTGCATAGTGATCTGATTGCTTTTTTTTGAAGGGTGAAGATACGAACTGAGTCCGATGCCATATCCCAGAACAGTATTCCATAACTTGCAACACTTTGGAAATTTGCAAAATAAGCTATCTTCGCTGCTTCGTGAGTTGCGACCATTTTCATTCTCCTGATAGTATATATTGCACTGGCTAAATTGGAAGCTACATCCGATATATGTGACTGCCAAGTAAGTTTGATATATATTTTCATCCCTAAGTACTTGATATTACACACCGTTGGATCATTTTTTGGTGCAAATTTTAAATACTGTGTTTTCTCAGTATTAATTTTCAATTTGTTGTTATGGAACCATATTTCTGCTCTTTCCAAGTTTTTATCGCTGCACCTTTTCACTTCTTGCTCTGTTTTTGCTGTTGTTATAAATGACGAATCATCGGCATACACACATGTTACCTCTGATGTTAGATTGAAAGGCAAATCATTTATATACATGTAAAAAAGTTTTGCTTGCAGGTCAAAGATGGAATATCTGGAAAACTGTCTCTTTCCAAAATATCCAGATTTAGGTCCAATTGAAATTCTATTAGGGGCCTTCTAATTATTGTAATAGTTTCGCTAATAGGTATATTAGTGTAAATGTTTTTTATGTCGAATGATATGAGTTTACTTCCGTTATTGGTCTTAAAATTATCTAGCTTATTGATGAGGTCTTTGGAGCTTTTGATGGTATGTTTAAAATGTTAGTGAANGTAACTGGACGTCCAGCTTCACCCCCCACTTTGATATACATACATAAAAAAATATACTAACTGATTAGTACAAAAATTTTTAATGCCGTACAAAACTAGTACATAAATAGCACAAAACGATGGTACCATCAAAATGCTGATATCTTAAAAGGGGGTGTAACTGGACGTCTAGCTTCACCCCCCACTTTGATATATATAAAAAATATACTAAATGATTAGTACAAAAATTTTTAATGCCGTACAAAACTAGTACATAAATAGAACACAAAACGATGGTACCATCAAAATGCTGATATCTTAAAAGGGGGGTAACTGAACGTTCAGCTACACCCCCCACTTTGATATATATAAAAAATATACTAAATGATTAGTACAAATTTTTTTAATGTAGTACAAAATTAGTACATAAATAGTACAAAATTATAGCACTATCAAAATGCTGATATCTTGAAAGGGAGGTTATATATGGAGGGGGGGTGTAACTGAACGTTCAACTATACCCCCATTTTGACATATATAAAAAAAATACTAAATGATTAGTACAAAATTTTTTAGTGTAGTACAAAATTAGTACATAAATAGTACATAATTATGGCAGTATGAAAATGTTGATATTTTGAATGGGGGGTGTAGCTGTACGGACCTAAAACATTATGATATGAANGAAAGGCAAATCATTTATATACATGTAAAAAAGTTTTGCTTGCAGGTCAAAGATAGAATATCTAGAAAACTGTCTATTTCCAAAATATCCAGATTTAGGTCCAATTGAAATTCTATTAGGTGCCTTCTAATTATTGTGATAGTTTCCGCTAATACGTACGTTAGTGTAAAGGTTTTTTATGTCAAATGATATGAGTTTACTTCCGTTATTGGTATTAAAATTATCTTGCTTATTGATGAGGTCTTTGGAGCTTTTGATGGTATGTTTAAAATGTTAGTGAAAAATATCATATAAGAATTTTTGAATAAGTTTGGCAATCTTGTTTGTGGGAGTATCGTTATTACTGATGATCGGTCTAATGCTTTCATCATCCTTATGTAACTTTATTAAACTCTTTAAGGTTGGAATTAATGGATTCAATACGGTAGAATTATACGATTTAATATTGAATTTTATCAGGTAAGGTTCTCTTTCTTTTATTAGTTTCTTTAGTGAATTATTGAAAGTGGCTGTTGGATTCTTTTTTATTCTATAGATGTTATTTTCTTGAAAAAATTTTTCGGTTTTTTTCTATATATGCATTTTTATCCAGTGTTACATATCCGGCATTTTTGTCGCCCAAGGTTACAATCAAATTTGCATTAGAAATTTTATTTTTTGGTTTTTCACTTTATTCAACATGTTAAGGTTTTGTTTATTCAGCTTGTTATGTTTTTCTATGTCTTTTATGAGATCATGATTACTCTATTAGTCGTGATTTCATTTTTATTGCAATATCTATGGGTTTGGTTTTATGAGGTAAGGAAAATTTATGTCCCAAGTTGAGGATCTCAATGTCATCATCGGAGAGTTCAACATTACTCAAGTTTGTATATCTGGGAGCAAATTTTAGATTGTCAGGATCATTAAGATTAATTTTTTGGATTGGATTATTTATGTTAAACCTTCTAACGACAAAACATTTTTGATCCCCATCCTGATNAGTTTTGCTTGCAGGTCAAAGATGGAATATCTGGAAAACTGTCTCTTTCCAAAATATCCAGATTTAGGTCCAATTGAAATTCTATTAGGGGCCTTCTAATTATTGTAATAGTTTCGCTAATAGGTATATTAGTGTAAATGTTTTTTATGTCGAATGATATGAGTTTACTTCCGTTATTGGTCTTAAAATTATCTAGCTTATTGATGAGGTCTTTGGAGCTTTTGATGATATGTTTAAAATGTTCGTGAAAAACATCATATAAGAATTTTTGAATAAGTTTGGCAATCTTGTTTGTGAGAGTATCGTTATTACTGATGATCGGTCTAATGCTTTTATCATCCTTATGTAACTTTATTAAACTCTTTTGTAACGTTTGTATATCTTGGAGCAAATTTTAGATTGCCAGGATCGTTATGATTAATTTTTTGGATTGGATTATTCATGTTAAACCTTCTAACGACAAAACATTTTTGATCCTCATCTTGATATTTTGATATTTGAGCTTGGTTATTATAATTATGAATTTCATTGATATTAGTTATTTTTTTTGTTTATCTGAATTAGTAATGTTGTTTGAATGGATTATTTCTTATTTTTATCGTTATTCATCTTATCTAAGACTAACCTACGGAGTTTCTTCCTTTTTGTTTTTTTGTTGTGGAAAGTTTTATGGAAGGCTTCTTCGCTGAATTAATGCGATTTATGAAGTTTTCGGTGTATAAATTTTAAAGTTGATCGTGCGTTCTTAGTTTCTTGTACTGTTCCCTCATATTCTACTTTATGAGTTCCTTCTCCATTTCCATTTTTTGGTAGTTAAAGGTTTTAGGTAATTTGATTTTGAATGCGTTGGGAGTAACTCCTAAATGTATAGCCTTATGTAAAAAATTGATCCTGTCTCTTACTTTTTCTCTCTTCAACAAGGTGTTCCGCATAGAACACCTTGAATGATTTGCTTGATTTACTATTCACACGAATTAGTATCTCTTTTAAGTGTTGGACACTGCAGATAATAATCAAGTTCAACCCCAATAGGACTTTTTTCACTGAATACAACTTTATTTATATGAGGTTTGTCATTAGCAACCTCATTTTAACAATCCCAATACAATATATAAAATCTCTTGTTGCCGTTTCGTCTAGTTTTCTTCTCTTCTCTTATAATTCATCATCACATTCATTACTAACAGAACTGTCGCTGTTATTACTTTTGATTATTAATTAAAGTATCCTCTTTTTAATGCAACAAGCCGTTTTGAAAAATCGCTTTTAGTTCTTGAGAAATAAATTTTGGAAATAATAGATAATTTTTTCGAATATTGCAATTTTCGCCGTAAGTTTTAAAAATTCGTATAAAATCCATTTCTTGGAATATGAGTATGAAAATTTCCCAAAGTGTTAATAAGAGTGTCCCCTTTCTAATGAACCAACCCGTTTTGACGGCCGAAGGGGATCCGGCTTTTCTCAAAGTCACTATCCGTTCCATCACTAATCATCTACTAAGGATGTCGTTTTAACCACGGAAATAGAAGCGGTTTGTAGCGATTTAAATAGAACAAGTCCAGATTGGAGAAGTCATGCAACGAACAGTAGGGGAAGAGAATTGAGGAATGCAATTAGGAACAATAAGGTCGAAGTTATGGAACAGATTCTGTTCCATAACTTCATCGCTGCATCTTCTGGTTACCAGCGACAGTATTCACGACAAGAAGATGCGGAGATATAATCAATGTATTCAAAAGAGATAAAATGAAATGAAATGAAAGAGTTGACTGAATTGAATGAGATCAGCAAGAGAATCGACTTACTAAATCTAAGAAAAGCTACCGGAATGAATGTGTTAATTAGATTTTCATTTACATTGAATTAGAATTAAAAGAATGTTTCACTAATCGCACTAAAAATTTATTCACATATTGTTTACATTAATTTGAATACTGAATAAGATATTTTTGAGAAAATTGTTAAAAATCAACACGCAGTTTCGACCACATAACGAGTGCATACAAATAAACAAAAAAAATGAAAAAACTATAACGATTTTGAATTATAAACTGGACTGGTAGAAATCGTACATAAAAGGAGATACTTATTGTAGAAGTATAGATACTGCTTGTTGAAGGAGAAATTGTCATTGCAGAACACTAGTAATTGTCTAAAGAAGACTAGATACATAGTAAATGTTTGCAGAAGCTAGACACTGCTAGCAGAACAAACCCTTAATACTGATATCAGAAACCTGTTGGTTACAAAACTGTTCAACAAAAATCGAGTTAACAGCAACACTTAATTTGGCATAAATTATGCTTACTTAATATTACATTTTATGTAAGAACATTCAATAAAAACACTAAACAAATTTAAACATTTTATGATTTTACATCTACGTGTTATTCTCGGTATTTAAAAATTTGTTCTTGGATATGGTAAAGTATAAAAACGTCTCAAACAGCGTTCAAGATTAAGTTTGATTTTTCCAAATAGAAGGATCTAAGCATATTTAAAAATGTATCCGATTTTTGCCATATTTTTGGTTTGTGGTAAATTAAAATTAATAATATTAAGGAAGTGTTATTTTCTAAACGATTTTTTATTTTTTTAGGTGTTGCTGTTTTTGGGGAAGAATGCGGCCTCAATCAAGTATGGGACGATTGTGGGTCCAATTGCGTTGATTATTGCAATAAAGAAGTTGATCCTTATGAAGTTTGTACGTTGGAATGCGTACCTGGTTGTTATTGTGCATCTGGTTTTATTAAAAAAGCGGTAGATTCAGATGAATGTGTAACAGAAGAGAATTGTCCTGCACCATGCGGTCATAATAAACTTTATAGAGAATGTGGAAGTATGTGTCCTAAATATTGTGGTCAACCGGATGATATTCTTTGTCCGGCGGTATGCGTTTCTGGATGTTTCTGCAAAGATGGATATGTTTTAGCAAATGAAAATAGCGCCCATTGTATCCCAGAACATCATTGCAATGTTTAACATTGAAGATAATTAAGATATTCTGTATTAAATAAAAATAATAAAAAATAAAAATTTACGGTGCTTTTCATTGATGATTTATTGGCAAATAAATAAAAATTTAAATATAAAGTGCCTATTAATATTTAAGATTACATTGAAAATTAAAACTTAAACCTGGACTAAATCAAGTAAATTTATTATTACTAATAAATAACAAAACAAAAAAATACAATACTCACTACTTGGTATAAAAACGAACCAAATCAACATTCAAATCAGTTCGAGTTTGATCTTTTAGAGAGAACAGACATAACATGACAATGAATAAATCATTAGCTTTGGTTGCTTTATTCTTAGTTTTGGGTAATTTTTAATTCAATATTTTTCTAAATTAATATTATCAATAATTTTTAGCTGCCGCTGTTATTGCACAAACATGTGGTCCAAACCAACTGTAGAACTCTTGCGGATCTGCTTGTCCACACTACTGTAATAAACCAGATGGTGGAATTTGCACCATGCAATGCGTGGCAGATTGTTTCTGTAATGGAGCTACTGGTTACACAAAGAGAGCAATAGATGCGGAAAATGACGATTGCATTCTTATATCTGAATGCCCTATTTGTGGTACCAATGAAATATATAAAGTGTGTGGAACTGCCTGTCAAGATTATTGTGGAAAACCAGAAGGTACTGCGTGTACGACTCAATGCGTTGAAGGATGTTTCTGTAAAGATGGATACGTACGTACAA